CTGTGTTCTTTGATGCATTATTTAATTAAAGAAAATATTTTGTGCAGTACTAAAGAAGTAGGGTTGAGTGTCTTCTTCAGCAAAAAATATGACCAGTTAACTACTTTTTTCTTGTTTTTCATGTGTATTCTTTATTTATTACTATAAAAGTAACTGAGATGTAAAAATAATAATATTTTTATGTTAGTTAGAATAGGTGGAATAAATAATAGTATTGTAATAAATTTTCATGAGGTATGCTCACAAGTAACTCTCGTAATGTAATTCTATAGCATCATGTGAGTTGCAGGTTTGCCATGTAATTTACAACTTATAATGGTGCAAATAGTAATTAGGGTTCAAAGGGCAATAAACCAATAAAATTTAAGTTTAAACTCATAAAATTTTCAAGGAACAAAAAGGAGCTTATTTGCCTATCAAGGATGTCTCTTCCAGCTCCAAACTTCAACTACTGCTTACTACTCATGTATTCATCCAATCTTTTCTTGAACTCAGTTAAATTTTCCACCACCACTGCCTTTGAAGGTAGCTCATTTCAAAAGCCAACCACCCTGTTTGAAAAATAAAACTGTCTAAACTGCGGACAACTCCTACACTGCCAAAATTTGAATTTATGCCACCTTATCATGTTGTTTTCACTGCTAAACACAAAAAGTTTGATGGAATTTTTCAGGGTAAACGTTTTTGAAAATTACATAGTCTATATGAGTGATTTCTTTGGGGATAAATGTTTTTGAATGTTATGGAAAATATGCAGACCTGAATGTTTACCTAAAAATTTTATTTTTACATATTTTAAGAATTCTTAACATATTCAAGCTCAGTTGAATTGACGACAACTGCCTACTGTAGAAACACAAATGTGGAGGACAATGTTTCGAAAGTGTTTTGCATTTCATCTTTCAAAGAATATTGAAACTCTTTGCTTGAGTCTATCAAATGGACATTGATAATATCACAAAAAACTGCAAAATTCTTATTATGGCTTTTATGTGTGTGTGTGTGTGTTTTTCATTGGTTAGATTTTTAACCAATCAGCCTTTCACTTAATAACAAATTTATCTCGTTAATTATTATCAGTGAAGAAGTGAAATCACCATTTCCTAACTGACATATTAACAAGATTTTAATGAATTCGGTTTGTTATAATGTTACCTGTGACCTTTTTTTTTTTTCCTTTATTAATACTTCATATATTACCAATCAACGAGAAAATACAGTTTGACCACCTAACCTCACCCCATACAGTTGCTAATAATGCCTGTAGTGGCCATTAACATTTCCATTCACAAAATATTTTAATATGATTTATTGAGGGGGGGGGCTTTAATTTACCGAATATTCTTTACAGAAGCTTTAGACAACTACTTGGAATGTATTTGTCTGTGAAACCCTCACAAGTAAAACCATGTTGAAAATAATGAACAGTTTTGTAAAAACTGTTCTGTTAATTTACATCAAGAAACTTTTAACAGATGACATTAAAGATACTACAGATTTACAGGGAGATTTAGATCATTTGATGCATTGGGTCAATACATAGCAGATAATGTTTAACTATCCAAAATATAAGGTGATGCATGTAGGTTTTCACAAATCAAATTATTGTTACAATTTAAATTGAAATACATTAAATACTGCGGTTGAAGAAAAAGATCTTGGTGTTGTGGTCGAAAAATCACTTAAGTCATCTAAACAGTGTATTGTAGCTAGCAATAGGGCTAATAGGATTTTGGGTAGCATCTGTAGAAATATTGAATACAAGACAAGGGATATTATTGTTTCACTGTATAGATCACTTGTAAGGCCTCATTTAGAGTACTGTATACAGTTTTGGGCTCCCCTTCCTCAAGAAGGACATTGAATTATTGGAGATGGTTCAGGGAAGAGCTACTAGGATGATACCTGGGATGGAGGGATTTTCTTATGAGGAGAGACTAAAATCTCTAAATTGTTTTCTTTGGAAAGGAGATGGATCAGAGTGGATTTGATTGAAGTGTTTAAGATTATTAAGGGTATTGATAATATAGAAATCACTTGTATACTTTACTTGACTTTCAAGAATGTTTACCCTGAAAGACAATCACTTGTATACTTTACTTGACTTTCAAGAACGTTTACCCTGAAAATAATCACTTGTATACTTTACTTGACTTTCAAGAACGTTTACCCTGAAAGACAATCACCTTGTATACTTTACTTGACTTTCAAGAACGTTTACCCTGAAAGACAATCACTTGTATACTTTACTTGACTTTCAAGAACGTTTACCCTGAAAGACAATCACTTGTATACTTTACTCGACTTTCAAGAACGTTTACCCTGAAAGACAATCACTTGTATACTTTACTTGACTTTCAAGAACGTTTACTCTGAAAGACAATCACTTGTATACTTTACTTGACTTTCAAGAATGTTTACCCTGAAAAATAATCACTTGTATACTTTACTTGACTTTCAAGAATGTTTACCCTGAAAAATAATCACTTAT